TGGGGAATTCTGGGAGTTGAGTCCACTCATCTTAAAGTGGCCAAGTTTGGACAACACTGCTCTAGTATCAAGGCTTTGGATAGGACTCTCTGATGAATACAGGTCCCCACTACTCCGGGCAGTCTGGCTTCCTGAAACTTACCTGATCAGGCGACCATTCTCCACATAATACTGCACTCGAAAGTGAATGATCATCGGGGGACCAAACTGGTCTATACCCTGCAGCAAGCAGCAAATACAAGTGTCAGTTTCCAGGTTGAGCAAAGGCCATAAAAAGAGCTATGCTGGATCAGTCCAAAGAGTTTATCTAGTCCACCTTCTGTTCCTACAGTGGCTGCTAAGATGGCCATCTGCAACAATCTCTCACTCATGTCCCAAATTACCAGCCTTCAGAGGATACCATTGATAGTACTGACAATCATCTACACAAATGATGATCTTCAACTAGAAAGCAAGAGGGACAGAGCTGGCTAAGTTGCAATCATTTTTGCCAAGGAGATTGGGGAAAAACGTGCAGGAACACACTGCTTATAATAGTTTGTCCATCAACTATCAAGTGCAATGGAAGGAAGGAAGGAAGGAAGGAAGGAAGGAAGGAAGGAAGGAAGGAAGGAAGGAAATGCTGAATTGGAGAATGGAGTACTTTTTGTCAATACTTTATTTCTTAGAAAATTGCCCATCAACTGCAGATTACTTAGCTTCTTTGTATTTAGCATCTTATTTGCTCTGAAAAAAGGAAGTTGGAGGGTCTTTAAAATGGCTCTGAGGCAAAATTAAAGCTGCTGGCTGTTTTAACGTAAGACTAGTGGGCACAATGGGGCCCCAGTGCAGTGCCCAGCAGCACCAATGTGCCTTCAGGACACTCTCCTGCAGCCCCTTCAGGCTTCACGCCATAACTACTTTCATGAGTATCCCTCACTATGATTCTTATGTATGGTGGAAGGGCAGGGCTGGCTTCACCAGAAGTGGAATGGGTGGAGTTTGTACACTGGTGTCCAGAAGCCCCACCCCACTATAAAACCAGAAATGGCGCTTTTCATCTGACATTCAAAAGTCCATCTCCAGGACACCAGGAAGGGCAGGGCTTACAAAAAGATGTCATGGATCACAACTCAGCCTAGGCTAATTTATCTCCATTTCTTTACTGTTGCTTTCTTCAAGGAATGTTAATTGCTGTTTTGCCTTAATTGAGTCTACTCCAAAGTAGTAGTCCAGGTTATTCTAAAATTCAAGACGTGTCAGATATAATAAACCCTCGAGTGGACACCCTTGCCTGCTTTTTTGTTGCTTTCTGTGCCACCAGCATGGCTGTCCTTTTGTGAAGGGGTAATGCTCTCAGAATTGACCTATGCCCATTGGCCAAAAAACTTGGGGTCCTCTGAGCTAATTCAAATCCTTTTGAAGGAGACCATGATGGAGATGAAGCTGGTGAAGGTAGCTGAGAAAGATGCTCAGAGGATTCCCTTTCCTGAACAAATCCCCTTCTAGCTGCTGCCCATTCTTTTGCTGAGTCACTGAGAATCTGGTGGCATACAAGTTTAAATCATCACCATCATTATCATCCTCATCACCATCATCATCCCAGATAGGAAGAGGACAAGGCATGCAGAGATTTAATTTTGCAATTTTCTCAGTTCTTTGCTTGCTTCCAAAGACAGTGCAGATATATGGGCAGCAACAGGAACAGCACAACTATGACGCTCCAGGGTTGATACGATCTCAGTGAGGGTCACAGATGTCCAAGGATGCTGGCTCTTACTTCTTCTGATGCATCTACAGAAGAGGCTATTGCTGGGCTTGTGGCTCAGGGGCACATTTTGTTTTTGTTTTTTCAACTGAGCCCCATTGTAGCCAGGAACATTCAGTATTTTGGAGTTTGAATTCTTGCAGAAATTGCCTCCAGAAGTTGAACAGCAGCTTGTGTTTTTCCCTTCCAGATGCTCACTGTGGCACAGCCATCACCAGGAAGTAACCCCAACACCGCACTTATGCGTGTGTATCAGAGAACATGACACTGAGGTCAGGCGGCCCTTCTGCTGCTGCCCCACACATAACATAAGGGGGGAGGTGAATTAGGCTAGAGTGCATAACCTACTAGCCATAGCAATGGCAAAGAAAGGCAAGCATGTGGCGTAAGTGGGCAGCTTCTGCCTACTTCAATCCTCCTGACCACAAAGATGAAACCAGAATGGCACCCCTACCTTGCTCGCTTCCTTCTTCCATTCTTTTGGGCAGTACTTGTAGAGCTTCTGGGATAATTCCATATATACATGCTCATTATCTGCCACAGAAAGGGACAAGAAGATCATATTTTGTATGGAGGCTGAGCAAAGCGTTTTCTGACATTCTTTTAAAAACAGTAACAATGATGCACTTATGACTAAGGAGAGCCATGCTTATAAAAGCTGCTTTTGTGGACCAGCTGAAGCATTTTAGCCGGGAAAAAAATGACAGAAAATCCCTCATAAGCTCTCCTTCAGGAAATTGACATTTTAAAAAACAGCATTCTATAATTTATTCTTCTAGCACAACTTGTTCACTTTTAAAATGTTGCAAAAATTGCATATTTGCATATCTATTGCAAACAATATAACAAGGCTGATGAAACAATCTTGTTTGCTTAAGGAAGTTTGACTTTTTAAGGAGAATCCTACTAGCCCAACATTTCTGTACTTTTATTCTGATATTTCTATGGTAAAGGCCCAAGTAGTGAAATATTATCTAACCTATTACCTACCCATGGGAATGTGATCATACTTCAAGCCCTCTAATTATCTTTCCCTTTTATTTTAAGAGTCAATTACGGTTTTTGCAAGGCATGGTCAACTTTTAGCGGCAGGTTCAAACAAAAATATTGACCAGGTTTGCATATTTGGCTGCCATAGTTTATTTAACTTGGTTTATTAAATAATCACCCTGGTTCACGTAATGTGCTGAGTCCTTAAACCAAATGTTAGATTTATACATTGGGTTAAGCCAAAATCAAGCAAACCATGATACAGCTTAGCGAGACTGTGAATCTAGCCTGATACTGATTTTTGTGTGTGTATGTGGTGCCTTTGAAGCAGTGTTGACTCCTGGCAACTGCCTGGACCAATCCTGCAGTTTTCTTGGCAAGATTTCAGAAGAGGTTTGCCATGGCCTCTTTCCTAGGGCTGAGAGAGCGTGACTGGCCCAAGGTCACTCAGTTGGTCTTGTGCCTACGTTGGGGCTATGATCTCCTGGTTTCTAGCCTGGTGCCTTAACCACTACACCAAACTGACTTCCTGATACTGATCTATAGCCACGGTATACTTGAAACTATTATTTTATGATTCTCCATCAATTCAATTTTTCTGCAGCAAACAAATGCCAAACAACCTCTGGGAAAAAAATGCAGGTCCAGCAAAGATCATATAATACAAACACCAAGCTAGTAGAGAACCCACAGAAATAGCATTACTCCATTTAGACTTACTTTGTATCACACTGAGCCCAAAGAGATGCCCATCCTTCAGCCGTAGCAGGTCACAAACTTGGACAAGTAACTCATGGCACAATATTTTAACCTACAGAATGCAAAGGAAAAGGAAACTAGTACAATCTGTAATTATTTTAGCAAGGATTTCAGGGGAAATTGCAAGGAAAGGTATTGTGCCATTACTCTGATTTTTATTAAGGAACTACAATGGTCACAGTAAAACAAGACTGACAACCCAGATATGCGAAATACTTGTTCAAAGACCTATCAAGCTATGGCCAAAGCAGACTGAGTTATTTATATTATAAATTATATAAAAACAAGATTCCCCCAGGCTTTCACTGCTTGCTAACCTTTGCTGGCTGCATCTGACAAAGTGCTACTCATTGGAATACATCTAATCTCTCTCCTTTTTTTAACTAAAAACAAATAGAAAACTAGCAAAATCCATCATACCAAGAAGTCCCCAAATCTTATCATCTTTTGCTATTTTGTATGTTTAATTTAAGAGTTTGGATTTTGTGAGACTTAATTGTGAGGGGCTAGGGAGAAAGATGGCACCTGCTTCATGTGAGAATTTGGTGGCAATTTTGATAAAAGTAGGTAAATAAAATACGCCAACCCACTGTGACATTGTCTCTTTTCCAGCACGTCTCTCTTGATACTGCAAGAATCTTGCCAGGAAGGCACTAAGCCAAACTTAGTAATAGAAGGGAAAAAAAGAGCAGTGGAAGTGCCTCTTTAAGACAAATAAAAATGTAGAAGAGGAGGATGAAGAATTAGGTAACAAAAGCAGGATAAAGCTCTAACTTCTTAATAAGTCTATCTACTGAAGAATCATTTGGTCAGGAAAGGTGGGCATTTTATATAGCAAAAGTGGAGAATACATTTAGGATGGAATTACTGGATCCCTGGTCTTCTCTGGGCTTGGTTTTCTTCTGGCAGATATTTCATTTCCAGACTAGGTCAGATCACTGGTGATGTTACACAATCTGGGAATGAAACATCTGCCAGAAGAAAACTGAGTTCGGAGAACACCAAGAACCCAAGATTTTTTATGCAACACCAGACAACTAAGATATTAAACTCAAAGCCTCCTAATTCCAAAAACAAATCTGTTCTCACTGCTGAGCTGAGATAAACAGCTTCTGGAAGAAAAATAGAGATATGGTACGAGAATAGTTGCTTTCTTTTTCTTTTAGTTGACAGTGTCTCATAAGGACAGTGACGAGACCATGAAGAGTTAGAAAAGTACTCTTATTTCCAAAAGGCAGTTTGTGGAAGTCAGCAATGACAGAAGCGTTTGTGGAAGATGTGTTTCTAACCTATCTGTCAACAGGCATCTTAAGATGTTTGCACTGGCTGGCCAATTTGGATGATGAATAGATTTGTCATTAGCTTTCTCAGAGGTGATCCTTTTTTATCAGATAAAGCAACGTGGAGTGCCTTCAGTTTGAGTGAAGACCAGCTTGGGGGCAGGGGGTGGGTGGGAGAAAAGAAGGGAAGCCAGTCTAACCCCTTTCCTTCTCACACATTTATCGACTCAAAACTGCACATCAACTCCATTTGCTTTTCTTCCCAAGAATAAATGATACATTTTATTTCTCAAATAGAAATCAGGGGATGGGGATTAAGAGCAGCAAAAGAGCTGGGAAGAAAAGGATTTCAGAAGTGTTGATTAAAAGCAAGCCTTAGCATTGCTGCGGTTTCACAAAAATACAGCATTTGGTCCTCTGCAACTCTGCATGCCTTTGTATGGGCATCAGTCCTGTTTATGGTCTTTGAAAGCACATACCTGCAAGAGAAAGTTTGATGCACAGTGCTCTGGGTCTCAAGAGAAGCACGCTGGAGATGCAAATGCTTGATGAATCAAAGTAGCATCAAAGTACAAGTGCAAAACTGGCAAATCTATGAGCAGCCCCCAGAACTCTCAAAGATTGCCTTATTAAGATTGGAAGATAAGCCACCAAATTGCCACGATGGAATTTTCTGCTCTTATATAGGTGTGTATTTGTTTAAAGAAAAACAGATGTGGAAACACTGCCATTGGTGACAGTTCACTCACATTGATGATGATGTTGAGGGAATCGTCATTGGGGAGGAAAATACAAACACTCCTTCGGTCCTGCATGACTCTGTTATTGTGGAAGTTCAGTTTGTTCATTGTGTTCCTGGCCCTCCCTGTAGACTGATGAGTGAGCCACTCCGAGACTGTGTAGGAGACTCAGGGGCACAGCATTCAACAGAGAGTTTCTCTTCGTCACCCACGGCACAGCAGGCAGGACAACCCGGCATTTCTCCCCAAAGGCACCATGGCTGGAAAGGAGGAGGTACACAAAAGATGTTAGACTCTGCACAGCACAAGGAAGGGTTTTGCCCACTTTGCCAAACTAGATGATGCAATGATGAGGCTAAGCTCTGCCCCCTCATGTATTATGCAGCCCCATCCACTTTGCAGCATTGTCCCCAAACTATTGATGCCATCTCCCTCCCCTTCATTAAATGGGTCTTCCAATTTCCACAGGGCCGCCTCCCTTGCTCTAGGTCAGTGTTTCTCAACCTTGGCAGCTTTAAGTTGTGTGGACTTCAGCTCCCAGAATTCTGAAGTCCACACATCTTAAAGTTGCCAAGGTTGAGAAATATTACTCTAGGTGAATCAAATATTTGAGCCAAGTCACCAGGAGTCAACCTCCCCCTCTCCCCCTGCAAACCTCCAAAGATACATGACCTTTGCCAGTCCATAGAGATACCATAGGCCGTGCTGGCCTTAAAGATGCTCCTTTGGAGATGGAGCCACTCCACTTATACACCCACCCACCCA